GCATCTGCGCACTCACACACATACAACACACACATTTCCTGCCTTAAAATTATATGTAAAGGTTTGACAGCTAATGTTAAGGAAACATGTATCAAAAAAATGTTCAGTATGTAGCCTGACAGACGAGCGAAGCCTGCTGCCAACGTCTCACATCCATGTAGGGAAAAAAAAAAGTAAATCCACAGAAGCTTTGCCAGAGCAATAAAAATCTAGAACATCATGTTACTTTTAAAGCCTCTAATTGTTGACTGATTCATTCACCGTCTGATAGCTCGATTTCACTCCCTGCTAAAAGTCATCCCTGACGTAATTACCTTGACATTGTGTGAAGAGGAGGAAGRCGCAGCTATGTTAAGCATGTTGGCAAACACAGTTGGGCCATTATCATCACAAGCTGCAGGTGAGACACTAACACTTTACTATGCAGCAGCTTTTGACCGCATTACACCGACTATCTGGTCAAAAACAAGTAAACCACATGACTCGCTGCAACGACTTTTATAACCAAAGAGCAAATGGATTCTTTGTCAGCTGTGGCGAATGGCTCTGTTTACACAAGCTGAACTCACGAGCAGTTCGCTCTCCCGTCCCTCACTTTTAAGGTTCGATACGGCASATGAAGTCCAGCCGCCTGGATGAATGAGTCTGATAACGTGTTACGTTTACAACCAATAACTCTGGCTTTTCTTTTCAAAAGACTGAAACACACAAGAATGCCCCTTTTGAAAACTCGAACAAAGGCCCCATACAGGCTCRTCATCAGACAGAGTGGATTTTCGAAGTTTATGAAGCAATTAAGTTCTTTTTTTTTCTGAAAAGAAAAGCTGATTGTGTCTTTCAATTTGGCAAACAAATGAGATGAGTTAAAATAAAACTATTAGTCTAAAAAAAGATATGTGACTTTGATTTGCCTAAACRCTCCAGTTCATGGGTTTTTGATTTTAAACGACCCAAAGACAACTCATGTAAAGGTTGTTTTTTTCATGTATGTTTAGAAGACAAGTTGTATAAACAAAGATAAAAGGATATCTTATCTGCAGACACCAGTTTTTTATCACACCTTCAGTCTAAATCAAGTCTAGGCATTTTAATGACCTTTGGTGACCAGTTTTTTTATTAAGAAAGAAAAAAAAAACTTCTGAGTCATTTCGTTTGATGACCAAAGTGAAATATTGGCCTGCAGGGAGTAACGGGAGGAACAGGATGATCAGATAGCAGCCTCATGGCCATGTTAACTTAATGTCCAGTTTCTGTAACGACGAGGCTCGTTTGTTGCATCATGACTGTGGATTTTTTCCAACAGTCTCATCCGGCAGGTCCATCCCAGACATGGTGAACAAGCAAATAGATTCTGCTTCCTTGTCTCTGGGAACGAGGGGGGGTCATGAAGAGCGCTGCGAATAAATAAATATATAAATATTAAGCACCAACTCCTAGCCCACGAGCAGCGCATCCCGTGTCCTGAATACTGATCCGGTGATAGATCCGAGCTGATTTTTTCTAAACGATGAGCCGTGGCACCTTCCATGGAGCTGCAGCCCACAGGTTGAGACCACAGAGATGCCGTCTCCTTGGCATCAGTCTGCCCTGCGTCTTCACGTCTGTGCTCCGCTCGGCATCAAAAAGAAACAGTTTGTACACTCAGAAGCAGCAGGAAATGTCCGTCCATCAGCCCCCGTGTCTTTGAAATTTCATGGATGTCATTTTAGATGTAACTCACGAACACGTGTGTGTGTCTGAACACAATGTTCCTTCTATTCACAGACGGCGTTCACCAATCTTAGACCCCCTCACGGATGAGGCAGCTGCAATTTTTTTTTTTTTTGGATGGGGGCACGAAAACGTAAAGAACATCCAGCTTGAACTTTTTTAAAAATTAGCCCTTTTCTCTCTTCCTCTTTTTTTTGTACCTGATTTAAACTGGGCTAAAGCAAGTGGAGTGACTATRTCTCATCAGTGATGATTAGAAATAAGAAAAAAAAGTTACTAATCTCATCCGTTTGAGCTTTTCTGAGTGTGTGTGTGTGTGTGTGTGATATATACAGCTGTGACAACTCTGGAAAATAAAAAAAAAAGACAGGGTGTGAATCGTTACAAAACACAGATAAAGATGGCATGTAGGCTCCATGTACCAAAAACTAAGATATCCTGCGGAGGAATGCGGGAACAAAACACAATGATCCAAAGAGCACATCCAGAGACGCACACAGTGTATCTGTACATTCTGTTTCTCATCCTCTGCTGGTTCACACCTAACAAGTGGGGACACACTGTGACACACACAAAGAAAAAAGCCTTGTTTTTTGAAGTTCATGGGCATCACTGCTGTACAGTGGAAAATATTTGCTCTTTGTTTGCGTTTGACGCCTCAGCTTAACTTTTTGTTCTCTTTAAAAAGTTACAAAAGATGAGCTGAAACATTTTTTTTTTACTTGAACCCTTTCATGACCTTTTTAACATTTTTTTTTTTTTGATGAACTAAATTTTCCTTCGTTGCACGTGCAAATCTAAACATTTAGTAACAAAGCTGCCCTTCTGTTCTGGTGGGGAATGAATCAGCACAGAGTCAAGTTTAAAGTTATAATCCTGAGAAGTCCAGCCATGAAAGCTGTAATTTATGAGGAGACACCTAAGCCCCTCTGGATGTTCTCATCCACCTCTTGGGACCAACAGAGCCAACATCCATTCTGTGTACACTGACTTACTTTTTTCTTGTTATTCTTATTATTATTATTTTTGAAATATAAAGTCAAAGTGACGCGAAATTTAAAAAAATAAAGGCAAATTAGACAGAGAGTGTACAAGAAGTTCCGTTTAACAGGCAGGCGTGGAGCACAGAAAGCCGGTGATGTTTTCATTAACTCAATTACAAAGTCAATAAGAATAAAAGACTTACATTGTCTTCAGGTCCTTGTTTATATAAACTGCTTTTTCCGCTTCGATTCAGCAGGAAATTCACTCGGTCGGTGATGTTTTTATTTATGTTTTCTTTAAAAGGGAAAAAAAAACGCGTCTTCTGAATTCAAGCCTTCTTATCTGAGATCCAGCAGGGTACTAAGTGTTCTGCCCATGTGCTTATTAAGGTAGCTCTCTCCTTTTCTTTTTCTTTTTTTTTCCCCCCACTGAAGCCCCCCCTGTCTGGTTGTCTCTCTGCTCTGTGATGAAAGAAAGTGCCGGTGTGGTCTCTACACGCAGCGCTGACTTCAAAATGACACAGTGGAGACAGTACAGACAGAAAACCCAGAAAAAAAAGACAGAGAGAGAGAGAGAGAG